TGGCATTTATGTGACCAGAGGAATACTAAGAGTAGAATCTGAGACCTCCTTACTTTGTTTAATTCACTAGGTGACCTTGAACAGGTAATCTGCCTTCTTTGGGTTCAGTTTTCTACAAAACAGCAATTGTTTGTTTGTTATCAGATTGTTGTTGTTGATGTTATGTGCCATGGCATCAGTTCCGACTCATAGCGACCCTGCATAGGGTTTCCAAGGATGTAAATCTTTACGGGAGTAGAAAGCCTCGTCTTTCTCCCACAGAACAACTGGTCATTTCGAACTGCTGACAGTGAGATTAGCAGTCTGATTGCTCTCTAAATGTGGCACTGTGGGCTAACACACTGGCCTGCAAAGTTGATTTGAACCACAAGGTCACCAGCTGCTCTTTGGAAACCCTATACAGGGTCGCTAGAGGTCCGAACTGACTCTATGGCACTTAACAACACAACAACAGCAACCTATCACCATTAAGTAGAGTCCAACTCATAGCGATGCATAGTAACAGAATCCTGAAGAAATACATCATGTTTGGTAAAGTAGAGGATCATAGAAAAGAGAAAGACCCTCGATGAAATGGACTGACATAGTGGCTACAACAAGGAGCTCAAATCTACCTGCTCTAGAGAAGCTGGCTCCGGACAGGGCAGCATTTCATCCTGTTAGACAGGGATCCCTGTGAGTCAGCAATTACTCCACCAGCCCTAACACAACACTACTCTCTATTCCAAAGAAAGCCTCGTTCAGAGTTGTTGGACTTGTTTTTCAGCTTGTTGTTGTTACTGTTAGGTGCCATCAAGTTGGTTCTGACTCATAGTAACCATATGCACAACAGATGGTCCTGTGCCATCCTCACAATTGTTATGTCTGAGCCCATTGTCACTCCATCTCGTTGGGGCTCTTCCTCTTTTTCAGTTTACACTTGTGGAAAACAACTGACAAGATTGAATTCTCGGCCTAGGGGACATGAAAGAGGTGTAACCTCTCCCTCACCAGAATCTCCTTGTTTGGATTCTTGCTGCTCAACACAGCCTGTACTTACAGCCTACACCAAACTGCCCCAGGCAGCTGAGGTTGTTGTCCATCAGGCACATCCTTCCTGCCACAGTCCAATTGGAATAATTGCAACAAGCACAACTGAAAAAAGCAGCAATAACAATGCTACTTCAACTTTATTTTTTGTGAATGAAAGACTGAGTTAAAGTTGACAGAACAAATAGGTTTCCCATTCAACAATTCATACTCATTTTGCTTCATAACATGGATTGCAACACGCACAACGTAACAGCACTCTTCCCATTTCCTCCCTGTGTTTCCTGTTTCCATTAGTTTTTCTTTCCTATCCCTTCTGAGCAGCGTAGCGGTTATAAATTGGGCTGTGGACCGCAAGGTCAGCAATTCGAAACTACCAGCTGCTCCGCAGGAGAAAGAGGAGGCTTTCTGCTCCTGTAAAGATTTACAGCCTCAGAAACCCTGTTCAGGGTTGCTATGGGTCAGAACCGACTTGACAGCACTTAACAACAACAACAACAATCCCTTCTAAACTTTATTCCTGGGAAAATGCTGTCCTTTTGATCTCATACCGTTGATTGTTCTAAGGAGTGTGTACCTCCCTAGTGCTATTGTTTATATACCTCAACTTTAATGGGAAAACTATGATATGTTAGGCATGAGTTCTAAGACCCTTATGTATTTTTCTTCATTTAACCCTCACAATGACCCTCTGAGATGGGTGTTACTACAATCCCTACTATAAATTTGCCTAGCACTAGCATTGCCAATGGTTAAAGAAAGAGCTCCTGGGCATGCTGGGAGAAATGTCCCTATTTAAGGACTTGGATGTGGTGAGCCGTATGGAATGGAGTGTCTTGAAATTTGCCTAGCACTAGCATTTGCCATTGATGTGCCAGTTTTACTTAAATTATATCAATAAAATATATTTTTTAAGAAAAAATAATGTAGGACATGTAATATTATTTTTCAATAATATTTTGTTGTATTTTAAGTGACTGCACAGCAAATTGGATTCCCGTCTGACAATTTCTACACAAGTCATTCAGAAACATTAGTTACGTTCTACACATTTGTCAATAGCCTCATTATGTTCCGGGCTTTCCATTTCCAGTCCTCTAGTTTCCCTGCCCCTTTTGACTTCTCATCTTTGCTTTAGAGCAATTGTTGACTTTTGGTCTCATACAGATGGAGCCCCGAACTCACAGATGAAATCCTTCATTGTGTATTAATTTGTTATTTTGCTTAAAAATGACTTCAGGGGATGGTTTTGGTTCAAGGTTTAAAGAGTAGCTCAGGGCGATGTCTCAGAGTCTTCCAGTCTCAACTGGCCTTGATGACGTTGTTCATGGAGGTAGCAAGAGTCTATAGTCCCTGCCCAGCCTCCCTGGAGTGGACAAGACCAAATCGTCCCTGAGGCCTGGGAGGGGCTTAAGTCAGAGAGAGGAAGGCCTCTGCTTTAAACAGACTATAAGGTAGTCCAAGCAGTCTAAAGGACAGCTTTTCATGAGACCATTTCTCAACATCTCATGCTTGTTCCTTCAGGTACATCCTGTATATGGCTGTTAAAGTCACCTTTATTGTTGTAAGACAAGTGGGAGCACATACTAATGAATTAAGGATGGTTTCTCTAGAAGTCTGCAGCCAGCCATCAATCCAAAGAAAAGACTGGGTTGGCCAGAGTCTCCCATAGGATGAGATCCCTGAGTGTTCTGTGTCTGGAGCCATCTCCTCCTGCTGTATAAATCATGAAAAGGTCACTAAGTCTCCCTTAGCCTCTGGATAATGGAGAAATGCATTCCTTCCTCTTCTTACATCCCCATTGGTCTGAAGATAAATGGCAAATGGACAAACTGAATTAAGAAGGTCAGGGGACAATCGTTCTAAAGTACAAAGTGCTATATAAATGCGAGGCTTGGTGTAAGAGTTGCGAAAATAATTAGACACTGTGAATACTAAAGGAGTTTTTAGGGGAGAAAGCCCATGTTTCTGAGTCCTTCTATTTACCCTCTCTGTTCTCTTCCTTCCTGTCTTTCCTTGTTTAAGATCTGAACCAAAACCAGTTGCCATCAAGTTCAATTCCCAGCAACCCCAGCAGATCTGCACTCTATAGGGTTTTCAAGGCTGGTCTTTCAGAAGCAAATTGCCAGGCCTTTCCTCTGAAGTACCTCTGAGTGGGTTCAAACAGCCAAATTTTCGGTTAGTAGTTGAGTTAAACATTTGTGCCACCTAGGGATGCCTTTTTCAGGCCAGTACCATTGAAAACAAGAAGTAGCCTTTGTGCTTCCAATAAACAGCAGCGTGATGTCACTCACTGTCTGAGAAGGGGGAAGGGCACAGACAACAGCAAAGGATGCAGAGGTCTAAGATTCTGGATCCCACACAGCCCAATGCCCAGTGAGCCCAGAAGGGCAAGAGAGCAGCCTTGAGCAGCTTCTGCTCTTAGAGAGCTCTGGGAGTTAGGGAGATGGGACCCCAGGGCACAGCTGTCATTGCAGAAAGGCCACCAGGACTAGCCTGAACTTCACACCAGGAGAGAATGGATAGGAAAGGATGTTGCCAGGCATGGAGGCTGTCCAAGAAGAGGATGATGGAGTGGATTGGAAAGGTGAGCAAAAGCTTAAATCTGTTCACTCATTTACTCATTCATTTATTCAACTAATATCTGCATTACATTTCTGTTAAATTCCAGACACTGCTGAGGCACTGCGGATGCAGATATGACATGGTCCTCTCAAGACACCCACTCCTCCACAGGGGAAAAGACATGTATATTAACAATCATAGACCTTTAATAAAGACGACATGTAAATATGTACAAGTCAATCTGTGAGCAGAGGGAAGGCATCTGGTAAGATGAATCTGGATCCTGTGTGGGGTGGGGCTGCAGGCAGACAGGCAGAGGGACAAGTACAGGAGGAAAATTAAATCAAGGACTAATCCGTCATTTCACCTGACTGAGGAGGTGCGTGTCCAAGGAAGAGGAAGATCAGGCAAGAGGAAGTCTGGGGCCAGACTTAGTGGGCTATGATTGCCCAGCTGTGGGGCTTGGACATGACCAGGAGGAATGTGATCATATGATCCTTAGGAAGGACAAGAGACTGGAATCCTCTCATACATTTCTGGTGGGACTGTAACATGGTGCAACCACTGTGGAAAACAGTATGACAATTCCTTAAAAAGTTGGAAATGGAAATACCATAGGATCCAGCAATCCCAATTCTTAGTATATATCATTAAAAAATAATAGCCATCACACAAACAGATATATGTATGTATACCCATGTCCATCCCAGCACTATTAGAATGATGGCAACAACCTAAATTCCCATCAATGGGAGAGTGGATAAACAAACTATGGTATATAATACAATGGAATCCTTTGCAAAGTGAAAGAATAATGATGAATCTTTGTTGTCAGCCTATCTCTTCTTGATATGTTCTTGTCATTTGACTCCACAAACCCAAGCTCTCCTGAAACACCTCACAACAAAGATGAACCTGGAGGAACATTATGCTGAGTGAAATAAGTCAATCAAAAAGGACACATTTTTTATTAGATCACTATTGTAAAAAGTCTAGCATGCTTCGATGGTGACCAGGGGTGGGAAGGGAAAGGAGGTAAATCACTAACTAGAGGATTATGTTTGTTGTTGTTAAGTGTTGTCGAGTCGATTCCAACCCATAGCGATCCTGTATAGGGTTTCCAAGGAGCAGCTGGTGAGCTTGAACTGCCGACCTTGAAGTTCAAATGGCTTTGCAGTCTGGCGCATTAACCCACAGCGCCACACCAGGTACACACATATTAATTAGGTAAAAGGGAAGGCAGAAAATAAATAAATAAAAAGAAAAAATATTCAAATTTTAAAAAGGAAAGAAAGAAAGACAGGATGGGGTTGACAGGGAAAATGATAACACAGCAATGTGGAGGGAGAGGACAGGGGATCCTGGTCATCAAGTGGAAGCATCCAGAAAGGGAGCAAGAGCCTCTCTCACTGTTTGAAATGAGGCCAGGTCTTAATGATGTTGTACAAAGCCTTCCCAGGAGACAGAATACTGACCACATCACTGTGCCCAACCAGAAGGTAGTTGGTATCCAGGTAGCCCTCATGCACAGCACACTCGATCAGGTTCTGGGCGGCCTCCAGTGCTGCGTCATTTGGCGGCTTTTCTGTGGAGTACATTTATCCATCTATCATCAGGGTCTCAAGGTTCTTTGTTTAGGGAAAAGACAGTGTTTAGAATACAGTCTTCCTCCTCCTGCCTTCCACCACTACCCTAGCCAGCAAACTGACAGTAATTGTGGCAACCAGATAAAAAAGAAAATAGGGTCACCGTGTTCCCTGATTCCTCTTTGCCAGTGTTTCTTCTAGAAAGTTAAGAACTACTCTGGTTGAGAGCTGCAGCCTACACACTGTTGGAGCATCCATAGGTGTGATGCTGTAGGATCAGCACTGGAATGCAAATCACAAGGTCAGCAGTTCAAAACCACCAGCTGCTCCTCAGAAACCCTACACAGGGTGGCTATGACTTGGAACTAACTCAATGGCATTTAACAACAACAACATAGATGTGAGCATCTTAGCAGCTATTCCCAAACCCCATCCAACACCACCATACTTATGCCCAGTGTTTGCCATACCAGGCAATGGTGCTCCCTGGCATAGTTATCATTACTACCAAGAGACAGCATTTGCAGATGGAGCCACAAAAGCACTAAGGTTTGCAAAAGATTTTTGTGTTTCTCTCTTGTTCCATGCTAGCCTTTGATGTGGATCTAAAGAAAGATGGTACTGGGTATGAATGTGTGTGGATTTGGGGATGAAAGTTCTTCCTGGGAGGGACTCCTAGGGGCATCCTATTTTGAGAGCACAATTTAAAACTAAAATGTTCCACAGACTCATCTTACAATGTCCCCCAGACATCATGCTTCCCACACATTCTACAACTTTGTTACACAGATTCCCCTCTGCCCCATGTTCATGTCTTACCTACAAAGTTTCCTATGAAGGCAATTCCTAGGGCAATATCGTTGTATCCATAGGTGTGAGAGCCTAGGGTATGCCAGCCAACACCTTCATACACACCACCATCCTGGCCCACCAGGAAGCTACAATTAGGCAAAGGAAAACAGAGTTGAGCAAAGGAGACACAGTCACTCTGGGAAGCAGAATTTGTTTCATTCATTCCTTGGAAAATTCACCTTTCATCTATCCATCACATATTGATTTAACGTCTTTTATGTAGGCATGTTGTTAGAAGGGACCAGCAACAGTGGATCTAGTCTTACTCATGCTTCAAACTCTGGTTTTCTCTTTTACCTCCTTCTTCCACTGATAAATACCCTGTAATTACGTTGGCTCCACATGGATAATCCAAGCTAATTTCCTTATTTTCAAGTTTACTGATTAACAACTTTAATTCCATCTGCAATTCCTTCTTTCCTTGTAACCTACCACATTCACAGGTTCTGATGATTTGGAATTTTTTATTTTTTTAACTTTTTATATTGACTGAAGGTTTACAGAGCAGATCATCAGTTTTACATTCAACAAATCATATCTTTTCCTTCATTACATTATTTCAATCCCCTCCATGCACTAAAAGTTAATGGCATTTACCTCTGTTCACTTTAACCACTGCATTCCTTCCTGGGTCTCCCAGCATCCTTATCTTTCCTATGCCAACCTCCCTCTGGTTGTATATTGCCTGCCGGTCACCCATGTCAATGTGTGTCTACTCTCTTGTGCATGTATCATTTCCTCCTCCCCCTAAAACCAGCATAGATTGTTTCTTTTATCAAGAAACCCCTCCTCTTCTTGTTTTTTTGTTGTTGTTGTTGTTGTTTTTTATACACCCCCCCCCCCAAAAAAAAACCAAAAAAAACCCATGCAGGAATATATAATCATTTAAACAACCAAAGGGCACATTCTGGAAGCCAGCCTTCTGGCCACCAGCACACTGCCTTTCTCTTTCCATGAGTCTAGAGTCCTCAACTGCTCAATCTCTCTATGTCAGCACCTCTGCCTCCATCTCTTGTGTCGCTGCTTCTCTGGTTAGGGTCCCACATGACTTAGAATTCTGTTAAAATGTTCTGAAGGGTGTGCTTTTACCTATTATATTGCTATGTCAAGAATGGATTGGAAAAAGGCAAAGCTGTGGGCAGACATCTATTACAGTAATTCAGACAATAGGTGTTGATAACTTAGACCAGTGTAATGGTAGTTGGCATAGAGAAAAGTGGAAGAATTTTTTAAACATACAGGAAATAAAATTAACAAGTTGTGACTAATGATTGGATAAGGCTAGGTGAGGGGAAGGGAGGCATTCAAGATGATGCTCAATTTTATGGCTGGGGAAAGTGGAGAAGATAGGTTCAGTTTGGGAGATGTTGTTTTTTATAGACAGCAATTAAAGCTATGGAGTCCTGGTGTGGTGCTGTAGGATAAGCACTGAACTGCTTGCCACAGGTCAGTGGTGCAAACACTCCTTGGAAACCCAATACAAGGTCACTATGAGTTGGAACTGACTCGACAGCACTTAACAACAACAATAACTGAAGCTTTGGGAGTGGATGGATTGTCCAAGGAGATTGTACCTAGTGGAAAGAGAAAAGAACCCAAATCAGAATCCTGGGGAATATTGAATTTGAAGAAAGAGTCCAGAATGTGGACTAACAGAGGAGACTGAGGAGCAACCAGAGAAAAGGGAAATCAGGAGCGCTAGGGTTTGTGGATGTCAAAGGACATCTGGGATCAGAGGCAGTGAGAAAGACTGACTGGAGAGCAGCTGGCCAGACATGGCTCAACCATCTTGTGAGCAGCTTTGGCAGCAGAGGAAAGCCTGACAGAGCAGATTCACATGGGCAACTGGAAAGGTGCAATTTCTTCTTCTTCCTCATGCTCCCCTACTGGCCAGAGGTGGCCAACTCCCAACCTCATCTATCCCCATTGCAGACCCTGCTCTCCGGGAGTTCAGATCCATGTGATTGGGAGCCACACCAGTGTGAGTTGGGGGCCAGCTGTGCCGCTTTGGTGTGCCACTTTGATGCCTGCATTCAGGTGAGCTCAAGGTCAGACCTACAAAATCTAAGTGCCACTAGACCATCATTTAACCAGTCACTCTACGCCCAACTTACCTGTGGTCCAAACAGACACTAAACTCAGCTCCATCAAGGGCCTCCACAAACAGACATTAAACCCAACTCCATCAAGGGCCTCCACCAACTACTTCTGGATTGAGTGCCCTGAACAAAATAACACCAAGGCCAGTAGGAACTCCATCTTAGGCTAGGAACTCTGCCATCACATCCTTCCACAACCACTTTATGAGTTTCTTGGATTGCAGGAGCCCACCAGAAATTTTTCCCCTCTGGGTCGAACAACTGCACTGTTTGTTTTTACAAAAACATTAACCCCACAATGTCCTGAAGACAACAGATAAGTTTAGCTCACACTAAGAAACAAGAGAGAATGGCTCAAACAAATGACCAAGATGCAGAGAAAGAAAACATTTCTGAGGGAAAAAAGGCAATGGAACTAACTGAAAAAGAATTCAAAAGAATGATATTTTGGTGTCTTCAACAACTGAAAGATTAAGGAAAGCAAGGAGAACACAGAAAAAACTTTAGAAGAATTCAAGAAAATGCTACAAGAGCATGCAGACAAAATAAAGGCAAATTTTGAAACTATACAAAACCTGAAATTAGAAATCCACAAAATTAAAACTAAATTCTCAGAAATGGACAATACATTGAAAGGGCAAAGAAGAAGATTCAAAGCAATGGAAGCTCAAATTAGTGAACTTGAAGATAAATTTCTCAAAACTAGTATGCTAAAAGAACACCAGAAAAAAGAATGAAAAAAACTGAAGAAAACCTTAGAGTTATATGGGACACCTTGAAGAAAAACAACTTATGAATGATTGGAGTTCCAGAATAGGAAAAGACAATAAAAAGCACATAGAAATTTGTCAAAGAGTTGCTGGAGAAAAACTTCTCTTACATCATGAAAGATGAGAAGATAATCATACAAGAAGTTGAAAGAACCCCAAACAGGCTAGATTCCCCAAAGAAAATCACCAAGACATAGCATAATTAAACTTTCCAAAATCAAAGACAAATGAAAAGTTATAAGATAGGAGAACCAATAAAACTAAGCTCTAATTTCTCAGCAGAAACCATGCAGGCAAGAAGGCAGTGGGATGACATATGCAAACCTCTAGAAGAAAAAAATTGCCAACCAAGAATCATGTACACAGCAAAACTGTCCCTAAAATACGATGGTGAAATTAGGACATTTCCTGATAAATAGGAATTAAAGGAATTTCTAATGACCAGACCAACTTTACAAAAAATGCTAAAGGGTGTTCTTTGAACTGAGAACCAACAACAGCAGACAACAACCTGAGATTACCATACATTACAGCACCACCCAGAACTCAATCCAGATATGTTGTTGCTGTTAATTGCCGTAGAGTCGGCTCCTACCCATAGCGACCCTGTACAGGGTTTCCGAGGAGCAGCTGGTGAGCTTGAACTGCCAACCTTGCAGTTCAAATGGCTTTGCAGTCTGGCACATTAACCCACAGCGCCACTAATATTTAAAGTAAAACAAACTTATAAGGCTGAAAATAGAAATCAATGTATAATGAAGTCAACTACAAAGCAAAAAGAGGTAATAGTGTAGATACAGAACTTCCAAATGGCAAGGAAGTCAAGTAGATTCCAAGATAAAACAGACTGTTTTAAGCAGGGAATCTTAATAAATTATAGGGTCATCTCAAAGGAAAATAATACACCTGTACATCAAAATATAAAAAGAGCAAAATCAGAAAGATTTAGTAAACATTAACACAACAGAAATGAAAATGAAAAGAAAACGCACAAACAAAATGAACTCAGCACAGAAAAGTATGTGGAACAAAGAATCCAGCAGTACCACACACAGGATCAATTACAAGGCTTTTCATGATGTGAGTTCTGTCTGCCTCTCCAGCCTTACCTCTTAGCACTTTTCTCTTTGAAATCTGTTTTTAGGTATGAGTTTTGTTCAATTCCTCAGAGATATGCTACCCATCTGGACTCCAACCTTTGGATATACTGTTCCCTTTATATAGCACTCTCTTACCTCTTTTGTGCCTGACTAACTCCTATTCTTTATGCCCCAACTGAGATGCCCTTCCCTCTGGTAACCTTTTCCTGACACCAATCACTTTCCTCTCAAGCCCCAGTTAGGGACTCACCTATATGTATTCTGCACTTTGTCAGACACAGTCCCTAATATTCTGAATTGCAATTGCTGTTTAGTTCTCTTCCTTCCTCAATATATATAAAATACTTACTAATGAAGATAAAGAGCACAGCCTTC